GATCCAGGGTTCGAGCCTCAACAATTGACATAACAAGCAGAGGCAGCTCGAGCAATTTAGAAACCTTAGGCAAAATCGACACGGGTCTTTTCGAGAACAATAACACAAAAATTGATGTCAAAGGGAGTGAGGATGTCATAATCCAATGCCAATTCATTCATTTTCATCATATATGAACTATGTAAGAGTTCAAAGCATAAATTGGATGGTTCTGATAAAGTTTCATTTTGAAACAAAAATTCATTTTTCGAGATGGATTCCATGTGTCCCATGATAAGAATATGGTGATACTCATCACACAGAACTTATGAATTAGATCATCGAATTTATGAAATATTAAGATCAAATTAATTTTCGCACTTAATAATGTTAACAACCATAAACAAGACTATATTACTTAAATCTTTAGTCAATAGTAATATGTAAGCATTAACATTGTCTTAATACATTGGACAACAAACAAATCTTTTTATTCATGTCTTAAAAGAACAAAATTACAAAGCAGAACTTTTTCCTCTTTGCCTGGTGGGGCGGGGTGGGGCGGGGTGGGGGGGGTAGAGTTTTTTTTTCCCCCAACTTGCACTCTTAGTACTCATTCTTCAAGATTGATTGTGCTTGTAAGCAGTCCCATGTCCATAAATAAACCTTGCATTTCCTTCTGTGTAAACATGAGTCTCATTGCGTAGCCTGTCAAAAATTCAGTTCATATTACTGATAAGCAATCATATAATCAACATAGGCATATTTTATATGCAGTACTAGACGAAATTGGATTAAGGACAATAAACAAATATGTGCTGTCCAATACTACACGTCAAACATGCCCATTGCCCTCTATCAAATTCCACACTAGAGAGAATTTCATAAATGAAATGAAGACTAGGGCCTTACGATTCGCGAACTGCTTTGCTTAAGGTAGAGGCAGATGTGAATGTTTTGCCATCAAGATATCTGTTTTCCCCTTTCATCCTCTGTTTAATTCTGAGGTCTAAATCATCAGCATTCGACATAAAAGGCGAATCCGATGCCTGTCATTTAAGGATTAACATTAGGCTCCATGCCTTCTTCATAAAACCAGACCAATTGAGGAATAATATATGTAGTTGGAAGGATTTGATAACACTAGAAAGGATAAAAAAACCTAAAATCTTGTTTATTAAATTGTTCAGTTTTATCGATTACTGCATATTGAAGAACTTGGAAATAGAGTTCACTTTATATACCATGACCCAGCCCCAAGTATCAGCATAGGAAGGAATGTGAGCAGAATAAGGCACAACATCTGCACATGTAGGAAAAGTTAATCCACTGCTAAGCAAGTAACAACATATTTGGTATGCTCGACTTGGTAGCGCTGGTAATGATTAAGGATACTGGTGCATCAATATTGAGTACGATGTACTAAACATGCCCTAAATGAATTACTAAAGTATAACGCCCTTAGTTATTAGTTTAATGAACTCACACTTGAAAACCTGCCTCAGAGTGTTGTAGATACAAGAAAAAACTTCTGTATGGCTGAAAATCCCGGCAGGGCCAGCCTGAAATGTTGAAAAACTTGAATTTCTTAGAAGCCATTTCTAGTTATAGCCAAGTGAGTGACACATGGAAAAACAAGCGTGCGTATACGTGTGAACACGTACAGTTTCCAGCGTGTGTTTTGTACATACCTGAGTGACAAAAATACCACCAGGGTTAAGTCTTGGTTTAACTGTGAATTCATAAAAGGATTTGGTGTAGAGTTGGTAGCATGGGCCTCCTTCTATTGGATCTGCCAAATCTCCTATGATCACATCATAAAACTCCTCTCTCCTTTCAAGCTCAGCCCTAATTAAACCACACCAAATTATAATTATAAGTGGTTATAAGAAAGAAGAAATTATGAAGAAGAAACACACAAGTTGATTGCCCATCCACTCGGCACCGTCAGATCTCCAAGATTTACTCTGTCCTTATTGGGCGAGTGAGTCTTACAATCAAGCTCCCTTATGCCACTACTCTCGAGGGCCAATCTCCATCCAGCCCGAGTTATGTTCAGAAAAGTGCAGTTGGTGTAGTATTTTACCTGGCATCATTGATCATGAGTTCTAGTCTAGGATCACAGAAAGCTTCTCTATTAACCACCAAGTATGACTTGCAAAATTCCACCACTTCCTGCAGCAGCATTGTTAAAAAAAAAAAAGTAATAATAATTATATTCTTTTTATAATAAAATTATTTAATTTAATATTTTCTTGTAATGATCAGAAATAAGGAAAGTGTTTTGTTTTTCACCTCATCAATGTCAGTGTACTGTTGGAAGAGGTGACCGGTATGTCTGAGTATTTCTCTTGCAGTGGAACCTTCACCTCCTCCCATGATAAAGATAGTTTTTGGACTGAAAATTTTGCATGCATATTAAAATTTTGGGTTCAAAATTTATATAACAACTACAAACTAAGCAATTTTAACAAGTTTGAACCACCTAACACCTAACTATGAATTGATTAATAAAGATTGTAAATTATATTTTTAAGGAGAAATTACTTCAGATGATTAAGGAGTGCTGGATGAACAAGTGATTCATGGTAGATGAACTCATCTATCTCTGCACTTTGAAGCTTTCCATCAATTACCAGAGCCTGCAGTGTTAAACAAAAACAGATTTCAGAAAAATCAAAGAAGCATATATTTTATTTATTGAAAAATATTTCCGCTCTGCATTATTGAGAAGAAATTTCAACCTTTCCAAAGGGCTTAGTGTCCAAAAGTTGAATGTCCTGGAATTGAGTGGCACCTGTGTGCAAAATACTGCAGCAAAAACGAGAATAATAGCTAATAAAATATAATTATTAACAATTATTTTTTAACTATTCATTTAAAAATCTAAAAAATGATAGAGTTCGCAGATTTATTGATTCAAATTTTGTTTGTAACAAGTCCCTTACATGATTTGGTGGCGACCATATTGAAACAAAGAACCCTTTTTTACTTCGTCAGATATAATTATATTGAACCACCTTGGCCCGACTCGAATTAGAAGAAATATTAGAACAGTGATTTCATTTTTTGCTTCCTTTTGTCAAATCTGGTATGAACTTTTCATGGACAAGACTTGGGAAAAATGTGGACAGAAAATCCCCGTACTAAAATACTCTACACCCCATTTTCACGACAAACTCAAAGAACCCTTAACATTAATCCCCGTTTGGTTTTGCTAAAATTCAAAAAATTATGGACCCCATAAAATATTTGATTAAACTTAATTATTGACTTTAACGTGAATTTTTATGAACTATCTTAGCCGAATCAAAGAGAGGCTAAATTTTGAGATATAAGTTGCTTAAATTCTTGCCATCAAAATAATTAAGTAATATGTATAAATGGAAAAATAATTAATACCCATTAAGAGCAAAGCACCATCTCAGGTTTTCTTCAATCTCTTCTTCATACCAGCAGCTCTTTCTTTGGCCATATCCATTAATGCAATTCCCATTACTGATAGAAATATCACCCATTTTTGTTCCTCAGAATTCTTCAACGAGATGACAGATACACAAGGAGATATATATACAGAGGTATGTAGCGAGATATATATATAGAGGAGGAGACATATAAGTTGGCAAAAAAAAGGAAACGTAAAAGGAGATTAATTATTTTGGTTGGCCAATAAAAATGCATTCAAGTAGGTGCTTTAATTAAGAAAACATGCAGAAAATCCTCATAGGTTTTGGAAACTGATATCCAGGAAAAGGAATAAAAGTGAAAAAAACATCATGTATGCTATGTCCAAGGTTGATTTCCTCGCGTGGCCTGTCGTGAAAGGATATTTTACCCAACATGAACATAGTTCACATCATTTATATCAAAATAATGCTATTTATCATCATAATATGAAATAATGGTAATGTTACAATTTATTATCCCTCACATTTCTATCTCTTCCACTCTCATAAAAATCGATATGTTTAATCTCATTATTCCACGTCGACTGTAACATCATCAATATTTTATCGTCATAATGATCAATAACATTAGTTGATGTATATGTTTAGCTAAAGCTTGCGCCTTGGTCTGATTTATATCTCTAATTCAAGTTGTCTTTTAGACGTGACTTATAAGTTTTTAGTAAATTAAAGGGTTTAATGTGGTATTGAAATTCATAAAAATCGAAATTTTAAGATTTACACTTACTATGCCTTCGTTTGGTGGCATTTAATTTAATTTAATTTACTTTAATTTATTTTTCATACTCATTTTCAACTACACATACACATAATAAAATATTCTACTCGAAAAAAAAAATGTTTCCTTATTTTTTAATCACATATTTTTCAAAAAATACTTTTCAAAACATAGTTTTTTAAAATTAAATTTTATGTATCTTAAAAAACAAGAATAACTAAACTTGTGCATCTGGTAGTGGCTTGAGTGATGCTTCTGGTTGAGAAGGGCCCAATTTAAACTTCTAATTTAACTTAGACCATGTTTCGTTTAGCTACAAAAGTGAATTAAAATTTGAGTCAAAGATAATAATTAATTTTAGTCATACATTTCATGTGACACAACTTTTCAATTACATATTCTATATAATTTTATCAAAATTTATTAAAAATCTGATATCTATGGGTTTAGTGTTAGAGTAATCTAATACTATACGAAAAATTGACATTCAGACTAATAAAAAAGAAAAAGAAATAATTAACTCTTAGCTTGTACAATTGTGTTGAAATATACACATAAATAAAATAAAATGTCTTTCGTCTCTAACAATTTAAACATTCAAATGATGTGATTCAACACAAGGATTATCGAATTGAAGTATGATCATACATTTGTCTTTCTTTAGGGCGTGTTCAGTTGTGCATAAATTCAATTAAAATTGAAAATATAGTCGTTATTGGGTCTCACTCGTTTAATAAAAATCAATAATAACGGTTAGTTTTTTCAATTTTAATTCGATTTTAATCTCTACCGAACACATCCTTAATTTTATCCACTACATTATATTTTTCACGTCACATGCTATTAACGAAGAAAAG